ATTTCATCACCAGATGGAGTCCTCACGGGCTGGCCAGAAATATCTATTCGGGCCGCTTTTTCCCTGTGTCTCTGTCCTTTCTCCATTTTGCCCTCTCTTTTCCTAAATATGCTTCTTGTCTCTCAGGATCATCATCTCTACGTTGTCTGTATCTGCGCTGTTTCTCCAACCCGATCTCACGGCAATTCGTACGAATTTTACGAGGTGGCTTATTCGTAACAATGCGTACGACCTCACTCGTACGAATTAGTACGATTTTTGCTAAATCGTACATATTTTACGAGTTGCCAAATTCGTACGAATGACCTACCCCTGACCCCGCCCCTAAACCTACCCATCACGTGAGGTTGTATGAATTCTTACGAATTAGCCACCTTTTAATCACTCGTACAAATTCGTACGAATTGGTCGTCAGATAGCATTGGTTTCTCAGCTGCAGAAAGAGGCATCCTAACAAAATCAAATCAAATACATAAAACACTTTAACAGCAACCTTGTTCATTTATTGACTTCTCATAATAAAAATAATAATGACTTTTGGTTTATAAAGCACATTTATAAAACCCAATGCACTTGTGTGTATCAGTATAGATCAGTAACCTCAACACATTGTAGCCTACCTATCAGTAGAATAAATAAAAGACATGATTTTTAGGGATGAAAACGGCAAAAACATGTATATTATGTAAATACTATTAGTAAGAAAAGTACGTCTGTGAAAATTCTCAGTCATCCAGGTCATAGCTATCCAAGAAGGGTTGGCTCAGGGGTGACAACCCCACAGAGGTTCAAATACCTGGCACTCCCCATTAGTCATTTAGAACTGAAGAAACCCCTTGGATGAGAGGCAAAATATCTTCAAATATGGAAGTACCAAGTCCAGTTGCTCTTGATTTAACCCGTCTTGGGTATACAACATGGGTAAGACACACAAAGCATATACTTTCGTCAACCCTGTTACCCTGGAATGGTAACAGGGTTGACGGTAACAGGGTTGACGAAAAATGTTATTGGCAGCCATTAGCCATGAGGTATAGGTAATAACACTACATTATGTGCCTTAAAGGAGAACTCCGGCGCAAAATGAACCTTTGGTCTAATTACACATTGTTACCTAGTCAACCGTTCTCTGAGATTTGTTTTCATGATTATCGAATGTAAATAGTTGTATCTCTAAAAACAGTTTAGCCTATAAAGCTAGTATAACGCTAGTATATTGGGCATAGATCAATGACAAATAAAAATCGCTTGTTAATACCACTAACAAGGCTCAAAATAGCCCCACACTAACACGGTAGCATAATGAGGGTCCCTACCTTCAAACCGAAGCATTGAGAACTTTGTCAGTGTCCAGACAGTTTAATAAGAAGATATTTTTTACATACAGTCAACTTCGCGTATACAGGCAGAAGCCATCTTTGAAATACAGCCTTTACCAGTCGATCTACGAACGGCGATCCAAGTGCGCTGGTGAGAATGTGAACGAGCTATAAGTTGTGATAAGGTGAGCGCGAAGATTGACTGGTAGAGACTGTATTTCAAAGATGGCTTCTGCCTGTATACGCGAAGTTGACTGTATGTAAAAAATATCTTCTTATTAAACTGTCTGGACACTGACAAAGTTCTCAATGCTTCGGTTTGAAGGTAGGGACCCTCATTACGCTACCGTGTTAGTGTGGGGCTATTTTGAGCCTTGTTAGTGGTATTAACAAGCGATTTTTATTTGTCATTGATCTATGCCCAATATACTAGCGTTATACTAGCTTTATAGGCTAAACTGTTTTTAGAGATACAACTATTTACATTCGATAATCATGAAATCAAATCTCAGATAACGGTTGACTAGGTAACAATGTGTAATTAGACCAAAGGTTCATTTTGCGCCGGAGTTCTCCTTTAATGAGAGGCTTAAATGTTGTTATATGTAAATTTTTAAATATGTACAAATAACGTTTTAACGTATGCTTTTCTGGTAACAGGGCTGACACAATAAGCGTGTCCCCATCTTTCAGACATTACATAAACTAAAAAAAATCATTACAAGAAGAGAACACTTACTTGTCTTCTACCATCAACTTCATGAAAGGCAGATGATGTCATTTCCTGGGACTGATGCAACTTTTGGAATAGTCCATTATCTTTAAAGAGGTGTTTTCATAAAAAGTAACAGGGTTGACGCGAACCTAGGTACCCGACTAAATTGTGTGTTTTTTCTAAATTTGACACATGTTAAGAATAAAATCTATTCATAACTAATGAACTGACACTTAAGGCTTTATATAAGTAGTGTTTTTTTATAATAGTTTGACTTTTTTGGCCTTGATAGCATAGCAAGTAGAAGTAGAAAAATCATACTGAGGGACAGGCCATTTTCAACATTTCTGCAAGATGCTTTGCACAAAAATGTGATTAAAATCCTTTAAAAACAAAAGAAACAGAAATTAATTTATTTTTATATTATGAGACATATTATGGAAACTAAATTATAAAATATTTTACTTGTTTTATGGTTTATTAAGATTTACAGAGCTTTTTTTTCTGAGGGACACAAAATGGCACGTTTTCGTATATGACCCATAAGCACCTGAGACGCGCTCTCTGCTCCTCACCACGGCTCGTCTCAGGTGCTGCGGTTATCACTCCGCCCAAGTAGCAGTGCTTCGCCTTCAGAGAATATAGTTCCCAGTATTTATACGGTTAAAATATGTCTGTGTCTCATGTGACTTTGTTTTTTGTACACTATGTGACTATACAAATCACAACATGTAAATAGGAAAATGTTTGCGTTATTTTGTCACTTATTTGGATTAGTATGCTAGCTGCAACCATTTACATCCAGTCTTTGTGCTAAGCTAGGCTAGCGGTGGGTGCGTCAAACAGACTTATAGCACGCACGGAGATGAAAAAGGTATGTATGGACTTATCTAACTCTGGGGGATAAGGTGAATAGGCTAAAGTCCCAAAAAGTCGGAGTGTTCCTTTAAGTTCTCTCTACGCAAACTTTAAAAACGCGAGCCTTTGAGAACGCTGATGGCGCGCACATGCGCATTAAGAGCTCATTCTAGGTGTGCGCATTTGAATATATGTGCGCAGTGTCTAAAGTGGAGTATCAAAATAGTGTAACCCCCATTTCTCTATCCTCTCACCCCATCATGCCGGCTGTAAATGGTTTCTCTGTGTTTCTCCTCCCTCACCCCATCATGCCTTTATGTTTCTCTGAGTCGGTACAGTGAGGATTGAGCATATATACACCACTGAGTGACTTTCAACTTCCTTGTAAGGTAGAAAAACATGTTGGTTATGTTCAAAAATGGAACGTATTCCTCATGCTTACACATGGTACAATCCACTTTCCATATTAAGAAACTATCCTTCGGTGTATACATTCGTGGTGCATTTGCATCAGTTAAAAAACATTCCTTTCCGTGTAAAGAACATGCCAACTGTACACATTTGATGTATCATCATCATCATTGGAACATCTCGGCTCAGTGAACGTTGCATTGCACACATCCCGATATGCAAAATATATAACTCTCCAACCACTCATACAATCTGTCCCAAAAGGACTTAAAAAAAAAAAAAGATGTTCCCGATTCAGATGTTCAATATCTTTTTGACAGAATGTACATATATCTAAATTAAACCTTAAATGATGATTATGATTATAAATGCCTATAAGGTATGAGTGTGTGGAGATCACATGATCAGGTGTAAATCTGCCCTCTGCTGCTCATATGAGTCCGTTACAGGCGGACTAAAGAAAAGCTCTGGAACTTTGTGTAATGTGAAACTCCTGTGGGTGTGTGTCTTTCCTTTTCCTTCACAGCTTTGTCTGTTTCATATTTACATTACATATTAACATAAATAGTATTTAATATTTACATTAACATAAATAGTATTTCACATTGTAAGAAACATGGAAGAGATGAAATCTGAGGTTTTATATGGTAGAGTTGAGAGGATCAGGGCAAGCCTTGAGATTTCTTAGAAATGGTGTTTCCCCTCTTATCTGTAAGTTGATGAGGTTCATTCACCTGTCAGGAGCATGACCAGTTTTTCCACTGTTCGCTTCTGAAGACAAACCCTTTCATTTCTAAACACGTTTCTATGAGTGAAAGGACTGACGTAACACATGAGGAAGAGAAGCCTCTGTCGTTTTCATGCAAATAATTTGTTTTTTATTTGTTTATGGACAACTGTGATGTTCACAAGCGTTCAGACTCAACGTGAAGGTCAGAAACTGTCCTGTGAATTCAAGAGGCTTTTCTCTGTTGCTTTACATCTGACACACAAACCTTTGCACTCATTAAAACAGCTTTAATAAAGTCCTCCATAAACTGAACAGATATTAGGCTCTAATACATTCAGATTAGTCTATTATCCCTTCAAAAACTGTACCATGGTAACCATAACTTCCAGCAAAATACTATAGATAGGCCTACTACTGTAAAATCATAATAATAATACATTTGTATAATTACATTTCAGAATATCTGACATTTTGTATTATATTATATTAATTATATTACATTATATTTAGTGCTGTCAAATCAATGTATCGCATCTAACATAAAAGTTTTTGTTTATAACACACACACACACACACACACACACACACACACACACACACACACACACACACACACACACATATGTTATATAAACAAAAACTTTTATGTTCGATGCGATTAATCACGATTAATTGATTTGACAGCACAAAATTATATTATATTACATTATATTATATATTTGCAATTTATACTGGAAGTGTTACTTGTCACTATTTGGATACTAAAAGTAGTAACTATTAGATTACTTAGTAATTAAAAAACTTAAAACAAATAGGCATAGTAAAATAATTAGTAAAAATAGTAGAAAAAAAATCATTTATAATATTTATAGCAACGTCCTGGTAACAACCCAAACAAAATCATTATTCAAGGCACACGCCTCTTGGATTTACTTTAGAAGAAGAACGTATATATATATATATGAGTACTATATGCTTGAGAACAGGGATCGGCCTGTGTTTTGTTTGTGTGTGGATGTGGACAGGATCGAGTCACACCCACTGTGACTGACTGACGCCCTCCCTCACTTCCTCATTCTGACCAAACTCACGAGATCCTTTCCTCGCATCACATCACACATCCAAGTAAGTTTTACCTTTACAATCGTTTTCTACGTTAAAACAACAGTGTATTGAGCGTTTGGCGCGTTTGTTCTGTGTTCAGTGTGACGTGCGTGTTTATAGAACGCGCGTGATGATACAATGTAACCGTTCCGCGTTAATCCGCGTTAAAATGTCCGTCAGATGTTTGTCATCGAAAACTCGGTCGAATGTTGTAAGTGTTCGTGGATTAAGATGTGTGTTGTTTCAGATTTTTTTTGAGGGTGTGTTGTGTAATCTGAAATATTTGGCTGCCATTTTTTTTTTCTTTAGGCAGAGAGCGATGTTGAATGGTCAAACCGTGTGTACTGTAGTGTGTGTGTGTGTGCGATTGTCGGACTGAGAGTTAATCAGTACATGTTCAGACCTGAGATGTGTAAGAGAAAAGCTGCATTAAAAGCAGGAGAACCACTGATCACTGAATTAAACCACTGGTTACTAAAGCATGCAGTCACGCTAGAAAGTTAGTGAACCCTTAACAATGAACCTGTGCATAATGTCCAAGTCCTATAACCAGAGAAAAATAACCTAAACAAACACTAAACAGCATGTGTTTTCAGCTCCTAAAAAAGGAAATATAAGGGGGTTTTAAATGTGTGTCTTGAAAAAATAGTGTCTTTTTTCTAGTTAGACAGGTTTTTCAAAAAAAGGATTTCTACTAGGTTGTGTGATAAGTGCGATCTAAAAATGGCAAATGACTAAAACTTAAAATAACATTTAATTATAGGAAGGTGTTTTAACACTGATATATGACTTTATAGTAAAAAAAATGTGATAGTCAAAAACTATTAAAGCCTTTTTTTTTACTTGATAGTAAAAAAAACAGTTTATTGAACCTTTAGACAACATCTTTTTTTAAAAGTTTGCATATGTGTTGATACATTGTATCATATACACATTATATCATAGTTGATACATCAATATTTTATGGCTTATATATTGTGAGAATATTGAGATTGTGGAAGAAAAAACACCAATTTAATTCAGAGACTCAAACTGAGCAAAAATAAGCAATTTGACGCAGATGCTGATATTTATATGGACAAACATAAGATGAAATTCTGATGCTTGTAATCAGTGAGATCCTTATATACTCTCAGAAAAAGAGGTACGAAAGCTTTCACTGAGGCGGTACCTTTTCTAAAGGTTCACTTTTGTGTGCATATTAAAAGGAACAAAAGTGAACGTTTTAAAAGGGTAACTTACCGCCTGAGTGACAGCTTTTGTACCACTTTTTTTCTGAGAGTGTGTAACAGGATAGCAGATACTGACATAAAATACATATAAAAATCAGCCGTCACTCTATATCCGCAAATAATGTCTTAGTAAGAAAGTATTTAAGTGCTTAGTTTTATGATCAAAGCTCATTGCGTGTTAAATCAACCAAATATCAGAAACTTCCCTGCATGGCTTGAATTTTTTTTCTTCTTTTTTTTTTTTTTATGAAGAAAGACAAACATAGTGATGAAAACCCAAATATTAAATGTCATGGATGAATATTGGATGGGGATGGGGGATGGGGGGTGGGGGGGTTGATGAATTTCCTGCATCAAATTCATGTAGAAATACTTTAAATTCTTCTAAAACTAACTTTGTAACTTAATTGCAACACATTTATCTTTCAACCTATAGCCTATATAAGCAGAACACACCTGATAAACCTGCCGCTCCACACACACTTGTTTGCTCAGTGGGATCACACTCATCCATGTTGGATTATTCACTCCTCACAGTCTTGAAAGGTTTCTGATCATGTGATCCAGGAGTTGTGTGTTGAGATGAGTGTCGAGCACAGACAGAGCGGCCCCGGCTCTGGGAATTGTCATTAAAAAGAAACTGATAGACCATTGATATAAACGAGTTTTACAATATTTAGTGTAATTCAGTGTATTTATAAATAAAAACAGTTTCCTTGTAAACAAACAAAACCGGCAATTATGGATAAAAAATAAGTTCTAAATCTATCCATCTATCCATCTATCCATCTATCCATCTATCTCTATCTATCTATCTTTCAACCAAAGTGAGTGAATTAAAGAAAGAAAGATGATTGTTCTGGACAATAGAATTTACGCAGTAAGCTGAATCGAGACACGCGTACAGTATCACATCTGAACTGATGAATCGTGCATGCCTCCAGCAGGCTATATTTATTTCACAGATATTGCAAATAAGTGCATTGCAATTAAGATAACATGAAATGACTTTGACATAGGCTACTGAAACACAGCAGAGCGCTGAACTGCAGTCATTTGAAGGTTTGCCAGGTTTATTGTCATCTGATGTTTTTTTATAAACATCATTTATCACATTTGAGTTGCTGCTGATGATTGATGTGTTCACCAGAATGACAGTGATCTGGTTTTGTTGGTGAAGACCAGTAGCAGGCTTTGCTTCACCGGTTTCACTTGAACAAAAGCGGCCCTTCCCCCACCATCACACACACACACACACACACACACACACACAGTGACACACACCAGGGGCGGAAATTATCGTTGGCTTGGGGCAAAAATGCCACTGAAATGAATAAAATGCTTCCAAAAACCAAGAAAAAAGTCTCCGTGTAAGTTATTGTTTTTACATATATTTATTTATATGCAATATAACACGAGCAAAAGTGCTCTTTTCCCGATTTTTTCCCCGCACGTTTATAAATGTGAAAATGAGCTCGTTTACATGCACACCAAATACACTGATAACTCACAAAAATCAGTTTATTGAAGACTTTAATTGTACGGTAATAAATCCGGTTTTCCTAGTAGTGAAGTCGACACGTAATTCATGTATCTGACTCAGAGTATTCCGTTTGTTAGGTCTGTTATGATGTTAAATAAAGCGTTAAAAACAGTGGTTTACTGGTTTTCCAATATGTCAGCAGGACACGTACACATTTTAGGCTTATATGATCCTCTCGGTGAGTGACAGATGCAGTGTTTTGACTGTGGCACTTCTGCACGAGATGAAACACATTTTTATCATTTCTTGGGCCCAGAAACAGTCTGAGTTTGTGATATATTTTCTTCTCCAGCGAAACGCTCGCTCTGTCTGGATGTGTTTAAATCGTTTCGTAACCGTGCGTTCACACGCGAATAGCGCGTCAAATTCGCGCCTACCGCGTCTAGTTTTACGCTTGAACACTTTGAATCCGTCAAGAGCGAAATTGACGCGTGTAAAAAAAAAAAAAAGTTTGAAGCAAAATTTACGCGCGTCGGCGGCGAAACACGTTGGCGGCCATCCTTTTACAAGATGGCTGATATTGATCGATCATTCATCGTGAGAGTCACCGCTCTGTATTTGCTCTGGAGAGCAGAACAGCGGCGTAGGGGTCATCGTCGCCGTGTTTGGGTCAACCGGACCCTTCGGAGGCGAACCCAGTTTGGCGAGTGTCAACATTTGCTCCAGGTCAATGCGTCTTTGCTTTGTAAACACACTCATTGATTTTATACAACAATTCAGTTTCAGTAACAGTAAGGTAAGAGGCTATTAGGTGACTTGCCTTTTAAACACAATATTGTCCTCTATTTTTCCAACTAAATATTTCCAAACTGTAAATTATTCGTTGCGCGACTCCGAGCAACACCGTTTCAGTTCCATTGCTAAATTGAATCTGCGTTTCTGAAAAAATCATTCTAATGAATTTTTCAACCACTCACTCACTCACTCCTGCTTTGTCCGTGAATAAACTCACTGTTAAGAAACGGGGCTCTGAATTGCACAGGCCGCCTCTGGTGAATACTTCACGTTACTGAATCTGTTCTGCTTTTGCATGTGACACTAATTTTAAAATAACCATGTAAATGTTCTCCAGGTGTCAGAGATGAGTTACCCCGGATATCCTCCCGCAGGTGGAAGCTACCCCCCCGGCCCCGGCCCGTATCAACAGCCTCAGGCTGGATACCCCCCCCAACCCGGAGCCTATCCTCCCCAGGCGGGATACTATCAGCCTCAGCCCGGTGCCGGATACCCCCCCGGAGCCGGATACCCCCCCCAGGCCGGTGGATACCCCCCTCAGGCCGCCGGTGGATACCCAGCTGCCCCGGGAGGAGGGTTCCCACCACAGGCTGGAGGTTACCCCGCCGCCCAGCCCGGGACCTACCCCAACATGCCCCCCGCAGGTGAGTCCGGCTACTGTCCGCGATTTGGCAAAGCCTGCGATTATTTTATGTGCAGCTTGTCAGTGAAGCACGGCCTATCAGTAGTAAATGCTTCTCCATCTGAACACTAGAGGGCGTCTTACACCCACACGCCTCATATTCCTCTGAACACCAGAGAGCATCACACACACACACACTTTGATTAAACATGACTTATAAACACACGACTGCCTTATTCTGTGTAAGAATCACATCATCTCACTGAAGGATGAGCTCAACTGTCGTTATGAAGTGAGTTTGGAGTAAAAGCATGTTATTAAATGATTAGTTTGATTAGCGACATAGAAATATTATTTGACAATGAATCTGCATGCTGGTAAAAATTAATATTTGAGGGTAGAGTCAAGTGTAGGTCTTTATCATTTCTGCAATGCATAAAATGAGGACAGAATCGCAGAATCCAGTCATAAAAATGTAATTTACTGTAGAATGCGTAATGTCACGGATTTTGGCACAGTTTGGATAAATTCAAGTAAGGATGCACACTTAATCAAATCACGATTGTTAATTTTGTGAATTGAATTAATCCATTAAAACGGAATCCAAAATCGTAAGAAAAAAATAATATTTGGCGAGGTGTAAATAGTTTCATAGGATCCTAAAAGATGCATTTCAAATGAATCAGTTTCTGCATTTCATGCATTATGCATATTATTGCATATTTCTACAGCTGCAGATTCTTTGTGCTTTGACTTTTGTGTGGTTGTTGTCCTGTGATTGACTTTGTGTCATAGTTGTTATTTATGTTGTCAGCAGGTGGATGGGGCGGCCAACCTGGCTTTGGAGCTGTAAGTATCTCTTTATTTCTGCCTCTTTTATTGTGCATGATCAGTTATATTGTGTATTTTTAAGTGCATTGCAGATCTTTGGTTGAAGAGTTTCTTTAAGCTGGATTCTGAGATGAAACTAATCATGTGCATGATCTTCTAGCCTGGCGGAGGAATGCCTCAGGGTTACCCCGGGGTGCCAGTGCCGGGACAGCAGCCCATGCCAGGTTACCCAGGTGCCCCGGTGCCAAACCCGTCAATGCCCGGGTACGGAGGAGGAGTTCCTGCAGGACCAACGCCACCAGCCGGTCCTGCTGTCAATGTGAGAGACAACCCGCTTTATCCGCCAATATAAGCTTGTACGCTTTTGTTCGGTTTAGATTTTCACGGTTCCCACAGTCACAGAAAACCTGAAATTACCAACTGAAATTCTAAAATGTTTCATAATCTAGAATTGCTTTGTCACAATGAAAATCCAGGAACAAATTGTCAAGAAAATGTATTGGTCATACAGTGTAAAAAAACCCTGACATTAAAAATATATTTCTCTGAATGTGAGTAGTTTCACGGCTAATTTCCACAAGAAAGACACACACACACACACACACACACACAAAATAAATAGGAAACCGAAATAACAAAACTTGCCCTTAATGGTTTAGTAACTCACCGTTGAAACAGGAAATTGGACACGCAAAGTTCTTCTTCTTTTTTTTTAAAGTCTTTAGTTAAAAGTAAATGAGAAATAGCTTTCACTATGCATTTACTTCCATAATATGACAAAGTATGTGTGAAAATGAATATAAAATGTTTAATCATTTGCATACCGTTCAAAAGTTTGATGTTTTAAATGTTTTTGAAAAGTCTCCTGCTCACCAAGGCTGCATTTTTTTAAATTGTAAAATATTATTACAATTCAAAATAGCTGTTTTTGTGAATTCTATGTGAATATATTGTAAACTGTAATTTATTCCTGTGATCATTACTCCAGTCTTCAGTGTCACATGATCATTCAGAAATCACTCTAATATGATGATTTGATGCTCAAGACACATTTATGTTTATTATCAATGTTGAAATCAGTTGTGCTGCTTCATATTTTTGTGCAAACCATCATAATTTTGTTTTTTCAGTATTCTTTGATGGATAGAAAGTTCAAAAGAACAGCCTTTATTTGAAATAAAAAATCTTTTGTTATATTATAATTGTCTTTACTGTCACTTTGTCTATGTAATGCATCCTTGCTGAATAAAAGTATTAATTTCTTTAAAAGAAAAACCTGACCCCAAACTTTTGAACGGTAGTGTGTGTGTGTGTGTGTGTGTGTGTGTGTATATTTACAGTATAAACTATATAGTTCTAGTTAGTGTGTGTGTATGTGTATTTATTTCACTCCATGAAAACAAGGAAGAATATTTATTTAAATTTGAAAATTTAGTTTTCATATAAATCTAGAAAATTCTAGTTTATTATACTGTATTTCAATTCTAGTTTTTAATAATTGAAAAAGTAATCTTTCCAGAATCAACTGCATAAAATAGACATGCATGGGGGTAAAAGCTATAAGAGGAATATCACACATTAATAAAAAATAGTCGTTAAATTGAAATATAATACGATACAGTAATACAAATATAGAAATTACACAATATACAGAACTCTGCATATACAGATATGCAATTTCCAGATTTAAGAATGTAAACTATTAAAAAAAGGTAATATTCTCAAATGTTTCTGATTTGAACTGTTTCCTGTGATGTATCTGTTCAGAAGGGATACCGCGGTACCATCAAGGACTTTCCCGGGGCCGACCCTCTCAAAGATGTCGAGGTGTTACGGAAAGCCATGAAGGGCTTCGGTGAGAAGAAATTGATTGACTTTGATTTTTTTGAACCACAAACATGCTTGCATACAGTCACATCTTTAAATACGGAGTCCTGATAGTGACTGAATCGCTGTTTTTGCTCACAGGAACCGATGAGAACGCCATTACCGAGCTTCTTGGCAGTCGAACCATCAAGCAGCGTGTGCCGTTGTTGGCGGCGTACAAAACCACCTACGGCAAGGTGAACATATGAGGAACAAAGCATCAGATTAAAGTGAAAGAGCTGCCATTGTGGTGTAACTTTGCATTCTTAATGACGTTTTCCAGGATCTGGTTAAGGACCTGAAGTCAGAGCTGACGGGAAACTTTGAAGATTTGGTGCTGAACATGCTGAAGTCTCCTGCACAACTCGATGCCTATGAAATGAAGCAGGCCATTGCGGTGAGATTCTATTTTTCCCTTGATTTTCCAGGAAATGTGTCCAAATCCATAGAGAGCCTAAGCCCCTCCCCTCCCCTGTATGGTAGTCAATGGCGAGAGACAACTTATCTTTTTATTCCGTCTGAACTGTGCCCTGAATTACACATATGATGTTTGTCAATTTAAAAGATAATAATAAAAAAGTCAAGAAAGTCGCAGTTTGTCATAAAACAGAAGAGTAACATTTAGTTTGATGTGAAAATCGCTCAATGAACTACATCTCCCGGGAAGCGAAACACCGAGCGAGATCCGCTGCTGGTGTGTGTGCAGTCTGGTACCAAACACTCGATGACGGCGTAACGTTACGATTATAACGGAAGACTATAGAAACAATGACAGACGTTAGCTTCAGTAAAGTTAGCTTCAGTAAAGTTAGCGCCAGTAAAGTTAGCACTTCAGTAAAGTTAGCTTCAGTAAAGTTAGCTTCAGTAAAGTTAGCTTCAGTAAAGTTAGCATCAGTAAAGTTAGCATCAGTAAAGTTAGCTTCAGTAAAGTCAGCTTCAGTAAAGTCAGCTTCAGTAAAGTTAGCTTCAGTAAAGTTAGCTTCAGTAAAGTCAGCTTCAGTAAAGTTAGCTTCAGTAAAGTTAGCATCAGTAAAGTTAGCTTCAGTAAAGTCAGCTTCAGTAAAGTCAGCTTCAGTAAAGTTAGCTTCAGTAAAGTTAGCTTCAGTAAAGTTAGCTTCAGTAAAGTTAGCATCAGTAAAGTTAGCTTCAGTAAAGTCAGCTTCAGTAAAGTTAGCTTCAGTAAAGTTAGCATCAGTAAAGTTAGCTTCAGTAAAGTTAGCTTCAGTAAAGTCAGCTTCAGTAAAGTCAGCTTCAGTAAAGTTAGCTTCAGTAAAGTTAGCTTCAGTAAAGTCAGCTTCAGTAAAGTTAGCTTCAGTAAAGTCAGCTTCAGTAAAGTTAGCTTCAGTAAAGTTAGCATCAGTAAAGTTAGCTTCAGTAAAGTCAGCTTCAGTAAAGTTAGCTTCAGTAAAGTCAGCTTCAGTAAAGTTAGCTTCAGTAAAGTCAGCTTCAGTAAAGTTAGCTTCAGTAAAGTTAGCTTCAGTAAAGTTAGCTGCAGTAAAGTTAGCTTCAGTAAAGTTAGCTTCAGTAAAGTCAGCTTCAGTAAAGTTAGCGCTTCAGTAAAGTTAGCTTCAGTAAAGTTAGCTTCAGTAAAGTTAGCTTCAGTAAAGTTAGCTTCAGTAAAGTTAGCATCAGTAAAGTCAGCTTCAGTAAAGTTAGCTTCAGTAAAGTTAGCATCAGTAAAGTTAGCTTCAGTAAAGTTAGCTTCATTCATTGAGAGGAAATGTGCACCTTTGGGGTTTGTAGTCTTTGTAATTACGTATTTTCAGTCTTATACAATCAACAGTTTTACATCAAACTGCGACTTTCTTGACTTTAAAATGTATCTTTTAAATTGACAAACATCATATGTGTAATTCTGGGCACAATTCAAACGAGATCAAAATATTTGTTTTCTCTCGCCATTGACTACCATACAATATTTTTCAGAAATAAGGACCCATGGTGGTCGACCGGAAGGGGAGGGGCTTAGGCTCTCTATTGAGATGCTAGATATTTTGGTAAGGTATTTAAAGTTGGCATGAAATGGTAATTTGTGCTAGTTTTTTCTTTCCTATTGTTGCGTATATCCGAAACGCCTTCTGGAACAAGAAGAAATGTGGGCGGGGCTTGATTTTGTTTGTGGGGAATTTATTGGATGGTTGTGGTTTGCTATTGGTGGATCTCATGTGAGTGACAGGTTGCCCCGCCCTTGTCAAGGTTAAGTTAATCTGATTCAAGATTACGAGCGACATGGAGTTAAAACAATAATGATGTGTGCAACGATAAATCATCTATAATAAATACTGCAATATTCCATTAAAATTAAGAATTGATTTCATTCCAAATCCTTGTGAACTGAAATGCAGCGTCATAAGTGACTGATCTGGAACGTACTTCATAGGATTTCATGTAATGCTAACAGCGCTTTAACAGCAGGGAAACATGCTAACACACTTACCCAGTCCAGCTTGGTTACAGCACGGATCTCATATGCTGGTGCTTGTGTTACACAGAAGTCATAAATGAAACACGGGCAGGTAATTACTGAGTCGAGAGCAGAAACCCTGCCAGACTCTCTGTCTGTGATTATCATCCCTCACCATGGAAAAAATTAAAGAAACCTGTTGATTGCATGTTTTAAAACTCACTGATAAACTATCCGGCAGTGAATATAAGGATGCACAAGGATTTCAGCCAATTAAAACACTTCTTGTTTCCCAGCTGTGGTTATCAGGAAATACTGTATTTTCCAGGAAAAAGTCATTTTTTGCATTTGTTTGTCGCATTTTTATTGTGTTAAAACCATAGACTGTAAAAAAAATGGACAAAGCGTCTGTGACGTCACCCATAGACTTTCTGAAGAACGGTTTTGAGGCTGTTTATGGGGGGTATGGGCGGCGCCATCTTTTGAAAATCTTGGGAAATCCTAACCCCGCCCACTGTCTGGCCAATCCATATATATGGGTAAAAGGGCGGGCTTTGTGTGAGACTGAGCCGGCCGGTGGACGCGCCTCTTCAGCCGAGCCGCCTCAGCTGTAGCGTTACAAGATCGACTGGCAGACTAGGCTACTTTTTACAGCCAGTATCATTCTTATGTTGAAACTCCTTTTCCTCGATTTACTGAAGCCTATATGTAAAACGCATTTGCAGCTGCATAGCTCGCTCATAGGCTGTGCTGCGGCAACTGCACATCCAATGGCGCGGGCGCCTCTGACGTGCGCCCAACTAGCTCGCAGATCAGTCTATTCTTATGTTACATTTATTAATTTGGCAGGTGCATTAACAGTGTTTCAAACGTCAGTTATAACCATAGGTAAAGTACCTCGGACGCTAACTTATCTGAGGTGATTTAATGCTAACTGTTGCAGTGCCACTGCCCACAAACATGCTAAATAGCTACGTGAAATAGTAGTGGAATGTCACTTACCGGAAAAAATGGAGCGAAGTCCTCCTAGTCCTACAGTGTCGGTTAGTGCAGTTTATAGCAGAGCAACCCATTTTATGTACGATATTTCAATACAAATGTTCAGAAAGGATACAGAGGTGGTATGATGTGTTGTGTCAGATGATCATGGTCGAGACGTCAAATTTCA